TCGGTTTTATCGTTCAGCGTAAAAATTATGATGATAACGATAAGTGTACAGTGCCGACGGTTGAGAACGAAGGTGTTTTGGAGTACACTTTGTTTATAATGTAATATAAATTGAAGTTTATACTGTACTTATATATACAGGGCGTCTCAAAAAATATATACAATGATTTACTGTATATATACTCGTGGAGATCCTATGAATGTTTGTATTATAGCAACAAATTTCCTCATAAACATTCATACGTTCTCCATGAAAATATACAAATCGGTGTGTATATATATTTTTGAGACACTGTTTAAACACGATTAACAAGTTCTCAAAACATTCTATACGACAACCAATATACAAAAAATACTAATTTATGTCTCAAAAGTATAAAATGTGTATAGTATATACTGTAAATGGAGGGTTCTATATACCTACCACCACCTCTTGAAATCATTGATCTTCGTTTTGGTGAAACTTGGTATGACGGTTCTGTTATATGAAAGGAGAGTCTTATATACAGGGGTACATCGTCTCATACCACTACCACCACTATCACTACTACCATAACCAATCACCACCTTCAGCAACCACTATCGCCCCTCACCACCCCTTACCACCAACACCTTTACCATCTTCACACCCTTCACCACCACCATCACCACTACTCACTACCACCATCACCACTACTACTACCACCATCACCACTACTACTACCACCATCACCACTCACTACCACCATCACCACTACTACTACCACCATCACCACTACTACCACCATCACCACTATCACCATCACCACTACTACCACCATCACCACTACTACTACCACCATCACCACTACTACTACCACCATCACCACTACTACTACCACCATCACCACTACTACCACCATCACCACTACTACCACCATCACCACTACTACCACCATCACTTTCACACAACCATATATGGACCTTAACTAAATCTCTCCCTGGGTTAAAGACAGGTGTACTAATGATACCTTACCTGTAATTAGCCTAACCCTCTTCCCATATATAGTGGTACCATTAATTTGCATGCCTTACGTGGGTGTTACTAAGAGTAAGTACGTGATTACAGGTGTGTGTGTGTGTGTGTGTGTGTGTGTGTGTGTGTGTGTGTGTGTGTGTGTGTGTGTGTGTGTGTGTGTGTGTTACGGTACTTTTACGCTTGCACTCACTCACTCTCTCTCACTCTCTCTCTCTCTCTCTCAGTGGCACCGTTATCTATTCTTTTTTTCTTTTTGCTTTGTTATCATGTTTAGTACTATAGTGTTAAGGACATTAAGTTGAAAGGAAAGCTTAGTGGCACAGGTTATCACTCTAAGATAACAGCCTCCATTTTGTATCTATCAGTAATATTTTCGTTATCTTTCTACAGTATTTAGGTTTAGTAATAATAAAGATAATAATAATAATAATAATAATAATAATAATAATAATAATAATAATAATAATAACAATAATAATAATAATAAAATAATAATAATAATAATAATAATAATAATAATAATAATAGTAATAATAACAATAATAATAATAATAATAATATTAATATAATAATAATAATAGTAATAATAATAATAGTAATAATAATAATATAATAATAATAATAATAATAATAATAATAGTAATAATAATAATAATAATAATAATAATAATAGTAATAATAGTAATAATAGTAATAATAACAATAATAATAATAATAATAATATAATAATAATAATAATATAACAACAACAATAATAATAATATTATAATAATAATAATAATAATAATAATAATAATAATAATATAATAATAATAATAATAGTAATAATAATAATAGTAATAATAGTAATAATAGTAATAATAGTAATAATAATAATAAACTCAATTTATTATTTCCATATTCATTCCTTTTCCTCTAAGGGTTTGCAGTCTACCTCTTCCTTCTCTTCCCTCCTCCCTACTACAGGATGTAACCATGGCGACCACCACCACTCAGCCTCTCCCAACATCATGATTTTTCCCACACCTATTATCTCTTCCCACCCCTCTCACCCTCTCATTTCCCCTCTCAACACTCACTTCACCTTCTCATCCTCTCACTTCCCCTCTCAACACACTCACTTCCCCTCTCAAACCACTCACTTTCCCTCTCACGAACACACTCGCTCTCTCTCACCTCTCCACACCCACTCCTTCCCTTCTTATTATCTAACACTCCCCCCACCCAAACGCCCCGCACTCTCCTCCACTAAACATCAGTAACTACCAACCCACCACAACCCACTACAACCCACCACAACCCACTACAACCCACCACAACCCACCACAACCCACTACAACCCACCACAACTCACTACAACCCACCACAACCCACCACACGTGACAACATACTAACAAACCATTATACCTCCCATACAGGTAACCTAAATTATAGATTCAAATTATATACAATACATCATTAACCACTACCCTTATCGCACCCAGGTAACTAATGTATCCTTATAATATATTCAGATTATTGCTTGTATAATCAACCACTCAGGTATTAGCAGAGATTAGATTATATATTCAAGTTATAGCTTATATAATCGACTACTAATATATCATCACATCCAGGTACATCTTAATTATATATTCAAATTATAGGTTACAACATACCACTTAACTTATTTCTACAGAATTTTAAGGACAATAAACTCAGCGAAATTATTCTCAATGAGTTATAGATATTTAAATTATAGAATATATAACTTGACTGAGAGCTTATAATCTACTTGTCTACCACTAAGTTATACTACAGTATGTATCTAGGATATAGAACACGCTACAAGATCTACAAAATACGATCTATTGGCCATGTATCGCAGAACTATATGACTTGAAATTATAGAAATTGGTTATAGATTATATACACCGCCTTTATCTTTCTCTATACGACTATAAGTAAAATATATAGAGATAATAAACACTATAATTCGCTCCCCGCTTCCCCTAGATGGATCATATATACAAATTATACTTTCTATAACTCGCTATCATCTCACCTCAATACTGTAAACGTCAATACCTGCAAATCATACTCTTACGCAACTCTCTATTCTGCAGCCAAAACTACTTCGGGCAATGCAATTATGGCGTAGATTTCACCTGTCTGGAGTGGTGGTGTTAGTGGCTCCAGGCAAGGCGGGACGGGGAGAGAGTATGAGTCAGGGGGAAGTGGGTTAGGGGAGGAGGGGGATGTGGGTTAGGGGAGGAGGGGGATGTGGGTTAGGAGAGGAGGGGATGTGGGGTTAGGGGAGGAGGGGATGTGGGTTGGGGGGAGGAGGGGGATGTGGGGTTAGGGAGGAGGGGGAAGTGGGTTAGGGGAGGAGGGGGATGTGGGTTAGGGGAGGAGGGGGATGTGGGTTAGGAGAGGAGGGGAAAGTGGTGGGGAAGGGAACTCCAGGTTCGACAAGGCGAGTAGCTGGTAGGACAGGGGGAAAGGAGAAAAAGAGACAAAGGGAGAGAGAGAGAGAGAGACAGATGAAGGAGGAAGAAGAAAGGGGAAGAAGGAGGAAGGAAGGAGGCAGTGTATGTGTGTCGAGGGAATCAAGTTTTTCAAGCATATATATTTTTTCAAAGTCGTCTAACGTTCATAAGATATCAAGACTCGTGGCAGCTGAAGCCTCTGTATATTTCTTAAGCAACTGCATCAACAACAGAGGGAGCAAGGAGGGAAGGGGTAAGGAGGGAGAGGGAGAAGAGAGGGGGGCAAGGGTAAAGGGGTTGAGGGAAGAAAAAGGTGGAAGGGGAAGGAGAGAGGGGGAGGAGGGAAGGGGTGAGTATTCGGAATAAAGGACTGGATTGAGAAAAGGAAGGAGGAAGGAGGAGGAAGGAAGAGAAAATAGGCTGATGTCAGGGATAGAGTGAAGGGAAGAGGGAAGGGAGAGGTATTCAGGGTAATGGATTGAGGGGAGGGTGGAGGTCAGGCCAGAGAGAGAGAGAGAGAGAGAGAGAGAGGAGAGGAGAGAGAGAGAGAGAGAGAGAGAGAGGAGAGAGATAGAGAGAGAGAGAGAGAGAGAGAGAGAGGGTAGAGAGAGAGAGAGAGAGAGAGAGAGAGAGAGAGAGAGAGAGAGAGAGAGAGAGAGGCGTTGGTCGTCAGTGTGTTGTGTTTATCTACAATACATTCACTTAGTATTGTTGTCAATGTTTTTTGTACTATTAACTGATTTAACCTAACCTAACCTGACCTAACCTAACCTAACCCAACCCAATCCAACATGTTAGATAAGGTTATGCTCGGTTATATGTTAGCCTGGGGTCTAATAGAACTGGGGGCCCATCTGACCAATAACCTCCAATCTCTCTCTCTCTCTCTCTCTCTCTTGCCCAGTCAGATCTTAGTCACTGTCTTTCAGTACATAAGCAGCATCTCTTCAAGTGCATACCGGTACAGATGTATACAGGTGTGAGCAGGTGTATATTGGTGTGAGCAGGTGTATACAGGTGTGGACAGGTGTGTAAAGTGTAGAGAGGAGTAGACAGGTGTATAAACGCGCAGACAGGTGTACAAAGGTGTAAACAGATGTATAAAGGTGGATGGTACACAGTAAAGGCAACTTAAGGGCTTAATCGACTCAAACTGACGTTCTATTTAGTGAATGACGTTATCTGTATCGGGTCCGCTGGTCTCAGGTGGTCGGGAGAGACGATCATGGTTATGTAACGTGTGAGAGAGAGAGAGAGAGAGAGAGAGAGAGAGAGAGAGAGAGAGAGAGAGAGAGAGAGAGAGAGAGAGAGAGAGAGAGAGGAGAGAGAGAGAGAGAGAGAGAGAGAGAGAGAGAGAGAGAGAGAGAGAGAGAGAGAGAGAGAGAGAGCATTGATCACTAAATACTATACAAATGCGTAAAAAAATATAAATGTGATGATTTTTGTTGTTGTTTCTTAAGATCTGTTTTCTTAATAATGTTTCTATATATTGTAAATGATGTGAAGTTAATCACCCGTTTTCTTTTCTTTTGCCAGAGTGTGAATAACCCAAGACAAACAAGAGTGAACGAGAGAGAGACTTGTTTTCAATTGGTATTAGGCATCGGAGCCGAGTGAGGTCAGCCAATCGAGAAGAAACACGTAATTACAGTGACATGGAATAAGCCCCCCTCCCCCCCGCTACAACGACCATCTCATATAACGACGAAAGAAAAAAAATCACCCGAAAATAACTTTAAATAACCCGGGAAACATTCCAAAAATTAATCAGTTTGAGTAATTCTTTAAATCTTTCATCACCTTAAAAAAAATTAACGAGTGTAAATCTAAATTGACCTAATAATCTACAGACGAAACCTTACGAGTTTAACGATATCTTACGAGTGAGAGAGAGAGAGAGAGTGAAGGTTCGGTCAGTCAGTCAGTCAATCATGGTGTCATCACGGAAAACATCAGGGGTAATGAGCGTGCGGCGGCCTTGTGGTATAAGTAAAGCCACCGTGAGCGGCCTCCAGGTAACGTTCCTCTGGGTGACTTACCTCCTCCTCGGCTCTCTCGCCATCATGTACATGGAGCAGGAGGAGAATATCGTCAGCACCACCATAGATCATCACCACTGGGCCAGATTTAAAGGTAAGGCGTTAATTGATCTTTGTTGATTGATTGGTTGGTTGGTTGGAGGTCACCTGAAAGCTTACAAGTCTCCCCTCCCTCCCCTGAAAGCTTACAAGTCTCCCCTCCCTCCCCTGAAAGCTTACAAGTCTCCCCTCCCTCCCCTGAAAGCTACAAGTCTCCCTCCCTCCCCGAAAGTCATGTCTCCTCCCTCCACCGGAAAGTTTACTAGCCTCCTCCCTCCTACTAGCCCCCACCCTCCTTAAAGCTACTAGTCCCTCCCTTAAAGCTTACTAGCCTCCTCCCTCCTGCTGAAGCTACTAGGCCTCCTCCCTCCCGTTAAAGCATTAGCCTCCTCCCTCTCCCCTTAAAGCTACTAGCCTCCTCCCTCTCCCCTAAAGCTTACTAGCCCCTCTCTCCTCCATCAAAGGCTTATTTCACCTGATGATAAACACTCTAATGCTACCTGTGGGGTTAGGTTAGGTTAGGTGATGTATGTTATGTTATGTGCTATGTTATGTTAGGATAATCCATGTACTGTAGATTAGATTAGTATTAGAGTGGTCAATATTAAAGTGAAATAAACTGGGGACTAATTTTCAGGTGACTCTCATTAATTGTTACTCATCAGTCCCCATCATCCCTCAGCCCGGCAGCGCAGAACCCTACTGGAAAATAAAGTATATGACGGCTGTAAATATTGGGGCCGAATCGACCGCTGTTTACCATTGTTTGTATACCTGGGGCCTATGAGGAAAAGGGGGTATTACGGGAAGAGGGGCGTAAGCTGAAGGAAGAGGGGCGTAAGTTACGGGAAGAGGGCGGTTACGGGAAGAGGGAGGTTACGGAAGAGGGGCGGTTACGGGAAGAGGGCGTGTTACGGAAGAGGGGGCGTGATACGGGAAGAGGGGATGTGTTACGGGAAGAGGGGGCGTGTTCCGGGAAGAGGGGGTGTGTTACGGGAAGAGGGGGCGTGTTACGGGAAGAGGGGATGTGTTACGGGAAGAGGGGGCGTGTTCCGGGAAGAGGGGGTGTGTTACGGGAAGAGGGGGTGTATTACGGGAAGAGCTGTGCAGCGGGAGGATGTGTGGATCAACAGTCTGCATTAGGGAACATTAGTGAATGACCGGAGAGACACGACGGACAGTGCTTTACGGTGACGTCACAGCAGAGTGAATGATACCACAGCATGGCGTCACAGCAGAGTGAATGATACCACAGCATGACGTCACAGCAGTCACCACTGTATAATAAAGACAGCATGATGTTGAGTACCTATTCCTTTGAGTACGATGGCCATGTACTCAAAGGCTTCAGTCATCTAACTTAAGGTGATAAAAATAAAACACTAACAAATATAATACTGTATCTAAATGTGTGTGTGTGTGTGTGTGTGTGTGTGTGTGTGTGTGACGATCCCTCCCCCACCCCCTCCATCGCCACCTTGTAAGACAACCTCTAGACCTTAACACTCTCCCTTAAAACACAAACACATAAAACAAACACTCAACATAAACACACTCAACACATAACACACACACACTCAAAACGAACACTCAAAACAAACACTCAACACAAACACACTCAACACTGACACAAACACCTCAATATAAACACACTCAAAACACAAAACACACACACTCAACACTGACACAAACACCTCAATATAAACACACTCAAAACACAAAACACACACACTCAACACACACACTCAACACAAACACACTCCACATATAATTTCCCCACATTTATATATCTGTGTTATATTTCCTGCTCGTTTCCTCTGCCTCTCACCACAAGTGTTTAAACTTGATGAGTTTTCGGAAGTTTCCCTCAAGGCAAGATCTTGGAACCCGGAACCCTTTCTGTTTCAAGGTGGATATCTCTCTCTCTCTCTCTCGTCTGTATGTCTGTCTCTATTCTT